TAAACTTGTTTTAAGCTGCATTGAACCTTGATGGTATATCATGCAAAGTTATTTGGTGATAGTGGTGTTGAGAAGTTGCTGGTGTGAAGTTGCTGAAATCGACGAATAAGCTTTCATAAGGTAAGTAGACTTGTGAATTATAAATCATAGCAGAAACTCATTAACTCATTTCACTAGATGTCCAGTTTTGTTGTTCAGTAATAATCTCCATCATGTCCATCCTTTAATAATAGAATGTGTATCCCATGGTTGAAAAATACCTATACCTATAATAAAATACCAATATAAAATTATAAAAAGTATATATCGTCTTTCTAAATCATTCCCAAACTTAAGATTGTTGTTTAGGCCATACATACCACGTAATATTAGAATAAGCACCTCTTAGTTTCAAAATACTTATAGTATAAATGATTTGTAATTTTACAGGTTTTATTCCCCATATTCCCCAAACGTTTCATATTATTCCCCTATACCTACACGGAGGTACTGAATAGGTACACAAAAATGTTAGTTTGACTGAGAAGTGGGTAATTAACTTTAGATTTAAAGTTACTTTCTGTCTTTTTGTAAGGCATATTTTTGTATTAATGTACCAAGAGATATGAGTGGTTTTCTGTTTTTCTTGTCAGTATTGCTTTAATATTGATAAATATTCCTTTATTATTATTATCATAAAATCTAAAGGCTTCTGGTGTATTAAGTTAATAAATACCAAGTCCCTTTTATTTTACCCAGATACTGGTGATTAACCCAATATCAGAGTTAAATATCCTACTTTCACACTTTGAAATAAAAACTAAAATAAGTTAATCTATAAATAAAATAATCACAATCCTGAAGACCAAAAAAAAAGCAAATAGCAAATTGTGAATTTATATTTCTGCATATGATGCTTGACATAAAAACATGTTGCAGCATGATGTAGGAGGGGAAGACAATAATTCAGATGTTTAAGTAAGGATTTGTCTCTGCATCAAATGATAAGTGAACAATAATAATAAAAAAAACATAAAAATACATCTGTAAATATGCTGTATGATAATTAACAGACACGTGTAGCATGCATCATCAGTTAAAATGGACTATTACAACATTTAAAAAGCTTTCTGTAAAAAATTAAATGCAGTGATTAGATGAATCAAGATTAGAACAATACCATGCATCATGCATCATCAGTTAACATGGACTATTACAACATTTAAAAAGCTTTCTGTAAAAAGTTCAATGCAATGATTAGATGAATCAAGATTAGAACATTACCATGCATTTCTATTAGGATTTCTGTAATAATTATTCATGGTTATTAAAAGCACTTCTGTTGATCTCTGTATTTAATATTATATTTAAAGCATTCAGTACATGGAGCAAATATCGACGTAAGCTGTATAAATATCATCATATCATCAAGATGAAGATAAATCTTGTTGTAATCTGTTATTTGTAGAGTATTTTACTCTAATATTGTATTCATCTCTATTTCCTCTCGGTGCTGCAAGTCCTTCCTCCCTGCAAAATAATTCAACACAAAAGCATTTACTGGGCTCTCATGAATGCAGATCGTTCCAGATCAATGTGAATCATCTCAAAAACTCACCAGCTCTTCTTGCACAGATGATCTGAAGAAGAATCACAGTAGGAGCAGCAAACGCTGCAAACTCAACAATAATCACAATCACTGCAGGACAGATGAGAGACACAATCAAGAGAAAACAGAGACTCAGTCTGTGAAACTGGGAATGAAATCAAAGCTATGAAACGATGAACAATGTAAAGAGTGTGATACCTCTGAATAATAACCCAGCAGTCATACTGACTTCAGTTTCTGCTGGATCTGTGATCATGTCTGTTAGTTAAATTCAGAGGTGGACAAAGTACAAAACTCCATTACTTGACTCTAAAGTACTGATACTGCTGGTCAAATATTACTCCATTACAAGTGAAAGTTATAAAGACAGATAGTTACTTAAGTAAAAGTCACAAGTTTCCATAAAAAATACCACTCAAGTAATGTACAGATACTGACAGT